TGCTCTGTTCCCCACTCTGTCTCTGGGGAATCCTCTCACCCTCCCCCCTCCCCGCCCACACACACACATCTCTGGTCTATACCCCAGCTCTTATATGCATAAATAAATAAATCTTAAAAAAATAAAATAAAAGTGCCCAATGAGCATGGTTGACTCATGTGCAAGTCCCTTCCCTCCTGCCAAAACCCTGGCCATACCCCCACACCCCCAACCCCATGCATTGTCCTCCCCTAGCTCATTCTGTTCTGAAATATCAAAAAGGCATAAAACAACGTCATTGCCCCTGAGTTTCCTATGATGTAGTTCATGACCCTTGGAATGATATTGCCATCATGGTGTGGATTTCTGTGCCTTTCCCACCTCTGTGTCAACTTCTCCCTCACCTCCTAATGTATAGCTGGTCAATGAATCAATAGAAGAATGCAATAGGACAGATAGTTCAAAAGTATTTGTACATCTGACTGTAAAGATATTATGTGATCAGTAGCTTTATCTTACTGATCCTATTTTTTCTTAGGCTAGCTTGAAAAACACACTTTGAGTACATTCTTATTGGGTAGAGGCTTGCAGATGGGAGCATGCAAAGAACTGAGGAAAAATAGTCCCTAAAACCCCACTACTGATACTTCACCCAGCAGATAATCACCATGTAGAAAATAAAGAGTTATGCACATTCAGCGACTGTGTTGACAGGCCTTCATGAATACATGGTTTTTCAAGACTTAGGGAAAGGTAGCTGTGAATGGTTAAAGTACAATTTTATGCCCTGACCAGAGGTATTGTCATATTAAAGTTTGGCTGAATTCAGTTTCCTGATATGAAATCCAAGACCTGAAATTCAAATACACTATGAAATTAAAATACACTGTGAATGCTAAATAGTATTCCATCTGTGCCAGGCCTAACCTTTTGCCAACAAAGACTAAGTAATCAGAGAAATTATTTATTAATTTTTTCCAATTGTGCTTTTCCCCAGAAGTCAAATACACGTAAGACAAATGTAAGTTCTGACTATGAAAGCATGGACACACCAGTTTAAGGTATTTACCTTTAGGAAGACTCATTTGCTTTCAGCCTCCTTAGATTTGGAAAAGAGGGTGATTGGAAGGCCTGTTCGAAGGAATTTCTCCATCTGTTAGAGATGGGAGACTTCCCAAGAGGTGATGGCACCATTGCCCCTTTCCTTTGTCCACTGCCCACCTTGGAACCATGAGGTCTGCCTTTTGATCATTTCTTTATCCCTGCTAAGTGTAAAGGGTCAGGAGAAAGACAGAACTTGCTATGACATCAATTTGATAAACATCAATTTGATAAATTTATGACATCAATTAATGACATCAATTTGATAAAATATTATCAAAGTCCCCTATTGAGGAGGTATTCCAAGGATAAGTAAAGTTCTAGAGCACTGGACCATCATCCACAGAAGTGCCACAATGGCAGGAGAGCCTCCCATTGGGACTCTCCTTCAGGAATGGTCTAGCAGTCCTGATGCCAAGCCAATTCACCAAGGCTAATGTAAAGAGTAACCTCACAGTCCCTGGTTAATGTGTATACAAAGCTTTGGAATCTGAGAGGAAGGTACATTCCTCACGTGGTCTGTGGGTCAGGGGTAGACAATCCAAGTAGTTTATAGCACTGCCCAGCACTGAACGTCTCTGCCACGCCCTGGCTCTCACAGCCACCTAAAAAGGAGGACATCACCACACCTAGAAAGGAGGACATCACCACCTAACAGAGGAGGGAGCCAGGGGCAGAGAATTTACACAAAGGCCTAGCCACACAACAGCATGATGTCTGAGGACTCTGTACATTTCCCTCCTTTTGTCCTTAAACATAACCCAGTGAGGTCTGGTACATTATGACCTGAATTTTACAGAAAACGCTGAGTTTTAACAGGTAATATGACTTTCTCAGGGTGATACAGCTAATTGGAAGCAGAGATCTAGGCCCATTTGTCCCCACTGGATGGGTAAGAAGTTTCCACAAGCAGCAGCCTAACATCACACACAAATGACCCAGCAAGGCAGCTCCCAGGGAATAGGACACTCTCCAGGTTATTCAATGGAATGTCCAGTAACTAAGGCCTCACCCAAGCAGAAAGAAAGGGGATTTAGCCCTTCTATTAGTTGAAGAGAAATGACCTATTGAGTCATTCCCATTTCCTATGAAGACAAAAGGCTTCAAGTTTTGCTTAGTTCTTGGAGCTTCTGCCTTTATTCAATATCACATCTGAGTGCACATTGACTTAGACTGACATGCTTTTCATTTTAAAGAGGGTTTGCTTAATTTCCCTGAAATAATTTTATTTCTTGTTGGCATAGCAGAGAAAGAGCACAGAGAGGCTGGCTCAGGAGGAAGCAGCACAGTTCTATGGTACAAGTCAGAAAAGGAGAGTGTCCATCATCCTCAAATAGCCCCTGAAGGGACAAACTTGCCAACTGTCCTGGGGAGGCTCCTAAAGCCCTCAGGGAGGGGTTCCATCCCTTGTCTGATACTGAGCATTCCTCAGGATGGGGGTTGAGGTATCTCTGAGACCCCGCTAGACTTCCCAAAACAGAAGAACAAAAGCAGAATAATCCAGAACCAAATGTGAAGACTGCTTTCTTCTTCATGTATTTCTTTTTTTTTTTTTTAATAGAGGCATGTTTTTATTTATTTGTTTGTTTGTTTGTTTGTTTATACATGCACTGGGTACAGTCAGAAGCGCGGGAGGGTGAGAGAATTCACCAGAGCCAGAGCGGGGAGCAGAACAGGCAGAAGGACCGAAGTACACTGCTGAGGGGAGCAGCGGGCGGCAGGAGAGGTCTGCGTGCCATGTGGGACCCTCCTCCTGTGGCCGGGGAGCAGCCGGGGATCGAACCGGCGCAGCAGAGGCCGCTGGCAGCTTCGCAACCCAGCGCTCAACCGCTGTGCCACCGGGGAGGCCCCTCTTCTTCATGCATTTCTACCCTCCCCACACTACCTTCTCCTTTCAGTTCATCCCCCTCCCCAATGGCAGGTAGATCAGAAACTATCATAATCATATGCTGGGCTTTTGCCACCATCATCCCCTCTCAGGATCCCCTGAGGGCCATTGACCTGTGGCCACTGTGGTCTTTGCTTAGAAGCTCCTAGTTCAGCTAATGGGATGGCATGCAGTGGGAAGTCTTGGTGGCTAAGGAGGGATGTGATTGGCAGCTTCATAATCCCTAGAGGAGCAGCTCAGTGGCTGGGCCTGGTTTCACCAATGCTGCCCTTCCCCTCCTCCTAAGCAGTATTTGTTTGTATTTTGTTTATATAAACTGCTTAAAGGGTTAAGAATTCGATCTCTAGAGCCAGACTACCAGAGTTTAAAACCCTACTCTTTGTGCCTCACTTTCCACATTTGTAAGATGGGATATTAATGGCACTTACCTAAAAGGCTCATTGAGAATTAACTGGCCCTGAGACTGCAGTGAGGAAAAAGCTGCTAGGACAGGGTGCTGGAGAGATGGCTCCAGAGAAGCCAGAAAGGAGAGGAGATGTTGAGAAATACTTTGGGGATAGAGTAGACACAGCTCTACTTTTGTGATTTATAAGAAATATACAGTGGAAGTTCCTCTCTGGTGCTGGCACTGAGAATTTCCTAAACCTTTAGAATTTCCAAGGAGAGTGATAAAGGTGTCTCTTGTTATGTTAATGAGGTGACTTTTGGAAAGCACCTGTGGATGGGCATTGGTTGCCAGGGAAACCAATTCAGTGATTAAAGGATTAATAGAATGTTCTGTTCCACCCCTATCTATCCTCCAGGAAGGGGAGGCAGCCGGAGGGTGAATCAGCCCCAGTGCTGGTGATATAATCAATCCTGCCTATATAAGGAAGCCTCCTATAAAAACCAAAGGAAGGGCTTCAGATTGCTTTCAAGTTGGGGAATGGTGTCCTCAGAGGGCATGGAAGTTCTGCACACCTTCCCACATACCTTGTCCTATGCATCTTTTTGATCTGGTTGTTCCTGAGTTACATCCTTGGATAATAAACTGGTGATCTAGTAAGTCAATGTTTTCCTGAGTTCTGTGAAGTCATCGGACCCAAGGAGGGCATAGTGGGGACCTCCGATCTATAGTTAGTCTGTCAAAAGTATTGGTGGCAATCTAGGTTTTTGGTTGGCATCTGAGGTGCAGGTGGGTGCAGTGTGGGTCTGAGCCCTAAACCTGTGGAATCAGATCTTACCTCCAGGTAGATAGTGTTAGAATTGAGCTGAATTATAGGACAGCTGGTATTGGAGATTTGCTTGATTGTGTGGGGGAGACTCCCACACGCTGGAACTGGATGCAGAATTGTCCTCAGTGATTGGACATGACAGAGGACATAGAGATGGATGAGGGGCAAGCTCTGAATTCAGGTGCACCAGATCTGGATCCTGTCTGCTGCACCTAACAAATGTGGGGTGAAGGGGGTCTTATTTAACCTCTTAATGTCTGGCTTCTGCATCCCTCTGTTGTGAGACTGAAGGAGTTAATGTGAGGAAAGGCACTTAGCACAGATGTGGCACAAAATAACAATAAAGGATGGCTACTCTGAAAGGTGAAAGAGAGAGGATTCAGGGTGACACTAAAATCTCTACTTGGGAGTTTGGAGACAGTAGTCAGGGTTGGAGATGCTGGAGGAGGAGAGGTTTTATGGGGAGGGTGAACACAAATTTGGCCTTAGACATGTTGAGTCTGATGGGCTGAGGTTTGTTGGGTGCTAGCCAATGACACACCAAAGCAATGGCTAACAGGACAGGGTGGGCTAGTGAGGGGGCGGGGAGAGCAGTCAGGAAGGAGTCGTGGAACTGTTAGGAGATAGGACATGTGAAGAGGGGACTGTTGACATGTGGACAAGCTATTAGAGAACAAGAGTCAGCACTGTTTGAGGGGCTGCAGGAATTCCTGTTTCTTCAATGAGGAAAATGAGAGCTGAAACTCAAGACTACCTGACTAGCTAAGGCTTCTCTGGTTCCACCCATCGGGGGGTCTCAGGGAACTGCTATGCCTTACCTCCAGGTATTGATTCACCAGGCGTAGAGAGTCATCAGTGATGTTAAATACATCCCTCCAGTCAAAGTTGGCCAAGTCATCAGCCTGCTTCTCTCGGGGACCATTATATAGGAAGTGCAGCATGGCATCCACAGGAAAACCTTCACCAAGGAGCCCATTCAAAAAGTCTTTTGCTGCTGGGTTCTGCAGGGTGTCCTGGGAAAAAGGAATACAGTTACAGCATTCAGAAACTCCACGGGATCTTTGGTCTTGTTCTTGGGCCATTCCCAACTTAAAAAAAAAAAAATAGGGATATGGATTTTAAGTCTCCCAAAGAGTGGGTTTTCTTCCATTATAAGGCATAATACTTATGCCCTTCCCCTGAAATGGAAGAATCATGATAGTAGAAGGAAGATGTGTTTGTTGGGGATGAGGGGAGAGGGACAGGGGAAATGGAATATGGGAAGTTTTTTTCTTCTTAAGGGTTTTTGTTCACCTTGACCTATCCCCTTATATAGGACTCATCTCCTTTGCAGAGCTGGAAATTAGAGCAGATAGACACATTCAACCACTTTTTCCATTACAGACCTGGCCCCTTAGGGTAATACTGTTTTGAATGTAAGATCCTCAAGTGAATCACAAAAGCAAGAAATTATAGAAAATCACTAGTATTATGGCAGTTTTTACATTTTCCTCAATTGAAGAAATATATTTGCTAAGTGCTTTGCAACCCTCCCAAGCCGGGTAGATTCACCATCGGTTCAGGCAGCTTAAAAGAGAAACTTGGAGCCCTTGGCATCATCCCTACAGGTTTTTTAATAGTACGCAGGGGAAACAAGCCAGCAGGGAGACAGCAACTTGGGCCCCCTGGAATCTCTATACGCCCTTTCCTCTGGGATTTCTCTGGTGTTTTCCTGTGGTCTCTTCCTTCCACTGTTGTTCATCTTCTTGTAGTCATTCTCTACTGCAGCCATCCTCTGAGTGATGTTGCCCTTACGTCCTCAACCTCTAGGCTCAGGCGTGCACACTTGAGCATGCCCACACCATATTCCAAGTGCCCACCATCAGGCATTCACCCCCTTGGCCCATGCTCTCAAGCTCCTCCTGCATTAGCACAATTGAGGCCGCAGGTGATAGCCACAAAGTCCACTGGTGCAAAAGCCTGAGCAATCTTCATCTACCCTAAACCACCCAAAGAAAACCATTCCACTTGATGATAGAACTCAGGCCTGTTCTATTTTGATTTCACTCCAGTAGTGCTTAACTGCTCATAAAAGGAAACACATGGAATTTTCTAGGCCCTTCTCTCTCTCCCCCACCCTCCCATCCTCTAATATCATCCGTACTCTGATCATGGCCATCTGTACACTCTTGTCCAAGAAGTACCAGATCTGGGGTCCTACTTCTTCCCAGGCTTTGACCAGCTTTCTCAAGTGTGCCACCTCTTCAAATGTTGAGTTGGCCTAAAAGCAGGCAGAGATTGGGACAAGACCAGAGAAACACATGTCAGAGAATCATTGGTTGTATCTTCCCTGCTCCAGCTACAAACCCTCAATGTTTGGGGAAGGCTTTTCAAAGAAGTGGCTTTATTTTCCCAGTCCTGTTACCTAGAACAAGCGGCTATGTCTCAGCCTCCCAGATGGACAGAATCTAATCTCAGAATCTCAGAGGAACATGTAAAATTGATGGTGCTATTGTCTCAGAACATCATTTAGGTCAGACTTGGACTCCCTGTGAGCAAATACTATAGTTCCCTTCCTCCCTGTTGTCTGTTCCCGGTAGGCAGGATTCAGAGATCTGTGAACCCTTTCATCAGGAATTGTGTTTAGGTGGTGGGAAAAAACCTCAGTGTGGGCTGCCCTGAGGAGGCCCAGGCAGGGGCACTGGCTGAAAGCATTCCAATGATGCTTGTGGATGCGGTAGGAGCCCAGGACTGTGTAGCAAAAAACAAACATGAGGTTGGCTACTAGGAGAGCACAGTGAAAAAATACACTCGCTCAGTCACTCACTCACTCATCTGAGTTACCCAGGGTAGAGGGGACAAAACCAGCTGGGATCTTACATGCTTGAGTATCCTGTGTGCCGCAGGGGAATCTGGAGTAAAGAGGATTTTCCCCATCAGCAAAGGCTTTGCTGCCCTCCAGGCTATTTTGGTTAGAGGATTTGACTCTAGGTTCTGGATCACTGAGTTACCAAAGGTCGCTGCCAGGAGAGAAGAGACAGATTTTATAGAAACTCCCCGTTGCTCAGCGCTAAACATAGTCATTGAGTGTGTTCAAATCACATGTCTCATTCAACCCTAGGCTGGAGGATTTGACAAATAACCTAAATTAATAGGCTGCACCCTACCAATAACAAGCTCATCATTAGCAAGTAACAAAATGCTACAGTGCATCTCAATAAGGGCCTCATCAGAGAACAAAGGATGGTGCCTTTCCCGTGATTATTGTGCTTTAGAAAGAGGCTGAGAAGCCTGCCCATGATCTGATGAAAGGGACAGAGAAAACAAGGCCTCCCCTTGGAATCTCAGCTTCAGTCTCAATAATTTCCCTTCAATACGCTGCATAACTTCTTTGTTGTGTGGGACTGTCTTATGGCCCAACTACCTTGTTGTGTGCCTTGCTGCCTCTTTTCCTTTTTTAACTAGAGGGTCGCCTGGTTGCATTTCTTCCACACCCACCCTCCTTTCCCCAATAGCAGCCTGTAATGGCAAGAAGACACAGAGCAGGATCTCTATGACCTGAGCAGACAGGGTAAAAGGAGGAGTCCTGGAGCCCTCAGTGGCTTTTGCAGGCTTTTATTGGGATTTACCAGGTACACAGCAGGCAGGGGTGCCAGGGGGCCGGGAGGCTGGCAGGCCTCCCAGCCCCCAGCAAATCTTCACTCTTTCTGTGCTCTCTCGCTTCTGGTTCTTCTGGTGATTCTGCTCCTTTTGCTCTGCTGTTCCTCTGATGTCCCTGTGATGCTGCCCTTATAAGCCCAGTCTCAGCCCAGGTGAATCCCATCTACGTATGCCCACACACTACTCCAGGTGCCCACCATCAGGCATGCATTCAGGACCCTAGGGATCCATCATCAGTCCTAATGGTGGGAGGGCAGAAAAGCCTGACAATTCATTTACCCTACATAGCCAAAAAAAAAAAATTGTAAAAGGTGGGAAAGTTTACTTGCCAGGGACCTGTCATGTGGAACGTAGTACTATACACACAGATTTTCAGTGCATTGTGTTTGGAAAAACATCCCCACGGCCGTGTTTACTTGCCAGGGCCCTCTGACCTGAGCTTTGCTTGCAATTCTGGTTGCTCCTCATTTATGTTTCTTCTCTTCCTCTAGAACTTAACCCTAGTTCAATCAGATCAGTGGGAAATATCCCTTCTGTTCCTGTTCCAAGTGGGTCTCAGTTCTTTCCATGGCTCACATCCAGAATCCTTTATGAGCACCAACTGCCCTCTGTCTACAAAAGGGAAATGAACTTCTGGGAGTTGAAGTCTTTTCACTCAAGACCCCTCAATGTGTCTCAGGGAGAGGCTGCCCCAGAACCTGGAAGCATTAAACCATCAACTTAACCAACTTCAGAGGCTGATTATACACAGGAAAAAGACTTACTTGTTCTTTTATCATAAGAATAGATGGGATCTTTCTTTGTGGAGCTGATCCCCAGGAAGGCCTTGTAGTTATTGTCTTCATACCAGTTGAAGGAGAATACCCGAGAGTCTCCACCCTCTGGATAGCCACAGAAGAGGTCGGACAGGATGCCCCCCAGCTGTGTGAGGGTCTCTGGACCGTCAGTCCAGAGAGGCCTGGTCACCCATAGCAAGTCCTGAACACTTGGCCGATGGATAAACTAGGGCAAGGCAAAGGTTTCAGTTACTTTTAGGCAATGAGAATCATAATCTACTATGAAGCCTAAGTCCAAAGTTTGGGGTGTTAGACTTCCACATTTAAATACAACATTCACATCCTCAGCATTCCTTAATCTAGCTAGAATATAAAAACCCACTGCCATCCACTGAGGATCTAGGAGGAAATTAGGATGAGCCTTGAAACCAGAGAGTGAACCCCAAAACATTCTAATATTACATCTCTCTTCCAAGCCCCTTTATTTGAGTTCACTAGGATTGTGTCCTTGGAGAAAATTAGAGAATTTTTCACTCTGGGCCAGTTCTTGGGTTGTTTTCTTACCAAGATGGAGGTACTAGAAAAAATGGGAAATAAAACGATGGAGGGATAGTTTTATCCCAGAAAAGGCAGAGTCAGAGCAAATATCTTTCACCAAATAGTTTAGAATTTAGTTTCTTATATTTAGACAATTATCTTTCTATTATTTCAATTTTACCAAATGTGAATTCTTCTATTTCCTTAAAATGTGATTTTCCTTAGTGTGTGTGTGTGTTTTAAGATGGTCAAATAAAGAACAAATAAATTCTCCATTCTTGGAAAAATACTTTTAAAATTCTGTGTCTTTTCCCCTCCAGTTGGGTACCCACTGGCCCTGTCCTTTGAAGATAGATCTGCAACTCTGAGAAATAAGGTAAGGGCTGACAGCATTGCTAGGGTCTCGGTTCCCATAATGCCTTTTGGTTTTGCTTTAGGGAAAAATACAAAACCAGGACAATGCTGCTTTGATTCCCAAACATACTTTATTACTCATTTTCAAAGGCACTTGGGAATTAAAAAAAAAAAAAAAAACATTTAGATTCAATCAGGTGAGACTGAAAACAGTTGCCCTGCTGCAGTAAGTGATGTTTACCTGTCATCCCTCTCTCTGTCCACATGCCAACACTTGCCCTCTGAAACTGTTGAGCACTGTGCAGAATCCACAGAGTGAGTCATGCCTATAATCACAGTCTAGGCTTCAATAATAAACTCGGAATCTCAAATTGCTTCAACAACAGTAGGTCTTATGACAGTCTTGTAAGGGATTATTACCATTATTATGTTGCTCACTTAATCAAAGCACTCAGAGATGAAGGGGCCATTCCGGGGAGAAGTGTTGTAGTATCAGTTAATATAAACTGGGCCATCGACTTCAGCCTAGTTCACAAGTGCATAAACTTGCTATCAAGGAAACTTCTAGAACTCCCACAGGGAATTAAGAATGTTGATATGCTTTGGGGACTTTTTTTTTTTTTTTTTTTTGAGTTCTCTATCAACGTCACCCTTAGTATGATGATATGAATTTTTTAAATTCTTATGAAGAAAAGAATGTTAAACAGAGACTCCCACTGCAGCAGGTGGCCATCAGTACTCTAGGCCCTTTCCTCTGCCCAGCAGAGCTCACACTTTAGTCAAGTTGAGCTTAGATTTATGAAGACAGATTCCAAACATGTACTCTTTCAGGTTGGTTAAATCTAAGTCAGCTGAGATACTGCAGGGGGGGAAAGTTTGGGGGAAGAGATATTTCACCTTTGGCTCTCTTTCAAAATACTCATTGCACCTGAAGGTAATCGTATTTTCACATTCCCCTTCCCTGTTGGATTATACATCTTACAAGGGCAGCGACTGTACCCATAAAGTTCATCATCATATCCCCAACACAGCTCCTCTACTATGCAGAGAATCAGTTTCTGTCTGGGCATAGGCTTGTGCAGCCGGATGTTAAATAAAATGTGCACATCTTCACAAACCAACAGACAAAAAAATCAATTACTTTTCTTAATGAAATGAGCTGACATATGTAAGACACTTAAAATAGAGCCTCGAGCAGCACTCTGTAAGAGTATGCTGTAACCACTGCTGTGTGGATTTGAAGAGCATAAGGGATAGGTCAATACTGAGAAGACTCAGATTTGAGCGTTAGTCCACTGATAACCTGTGCCACATCAAACAAGGTGACATTTCTTCCTGGAATGAAATCATAGGATGATTCCTCTGACCCAGGAGCATGGATAATTTGGACATAAATGGTGCTTTGAAATTGCTAGATGGAAAAATCAAATGTATTTCCCTTTGAACAGATTTTCAAGTGCAGTTAAATTACCTGACATGGCAAATGTGGTAAAATGGTATAAAGTTATAGAGACATTATAATTACTACTATCATTATATTACTACTATACATTACTTACTTCTTGAATTCTTGGTGACAGATCAGATAATATTCTTCCCCAGGATCTCAAATCAATACCTTGAGAATTTCTGTCTAGCAGGGTGGGAAACTATAATTGATAGGAAAAAAATATATACATGGGTATATATATTATACCTATATGCCTATATGTGTATATATACATATGCATATATAAACATATATACATATATACATATATGTGTGTGTAGTTACCCATACACACATAGACACTCTCTGATCTCCTGTATACTTGAAAAACATTTCCTCCCTTCTGTCTGATCCCAGGACCTCTTCTGCAAGATTGCTTTCAGAACCAAATTTCTTTTTTATAATTGAGAAAATCAAAGGCTCTTATTCCAAGTCACCCTGCTGAGCTAGTCAATCACAAATAGTTTCATGATGACATTAAATCTGCCAAAGTGATTCTGATTGCTGGTTTAGTGACACCAAACAAGACTCCTGGAGGAAGGAAAACAGAATGCAGCTGCTGGAGGGAAGAGGAAAGCCACAGGCTGCGTGCAGAGGGGGCCATCTGTTCACCCCGCTCAGGCTCCGGACACTCCCGGGCTTCCTTGTCATTGTTTCAAAGTCTTTGCTCCTTTTGTGTCCTTTTCAGGCAGGTTGTGTCTCTTCCTCTGTTCAGTGCTATTTACTTTCTTATGGAAAATTTGGTCCTTTACATCACCTTTCTTTTAAAGTTGCTGCTGCCTGCAGCTTTAAAGAAAGCAGTTTCTCTGCAGATTCTTTAGTTGACAGCAGGGACTCCTGGCCGAGGTGACCACACAGAGCTATTCATGCACTTTCCACCTCCACATGGAACATGGAAGCACACGAGTTTGCTGGCTGCAAGTCCCAGAGCCTGATGGGAACACCTTGTTTTCCAAAACCAAGTTCAAGTCCTAAACTTGAAGAATGAATGACCTCATTCTTCATTGTTTCAAAACAGATTGAGTCACCGATTTTATGTCTTTATGACTGAATTCTAAGTTTTAAGGCAGTGGTTTTCAAACTCAACTGTGCATCTTGACTAGGCCTGGAGGGGATGTGTATTTTTAACAGGCTCAACATGTAATTCTGATTCAAGTATTTGTGGACCACAAGCCACAAGCCTGGGCTTTTTATTTGCCAGTGTGGTTCTCCTAAATGATGGGTGGACAAATGCAGCAGTGGCACAGCTGAGAAGCAGGTGGAGTTAGGCTTCCACTGGCCCAGGCTCTCATTTCTAGCTGTGGTCCTGCTCTGTTCCTGCTGTAGGTGCAAGGGTCCTCACATCCTCTCTGACCCTAAAACCCAAATGGAAATGTTGGTGTACTCATGGGGTTCTAGCATTTTAAGCTGATTTTCTAAGAGTAGAATGAAAGTTTTCCTATACATGAGAGCTACAAAGCAGACAGGAGCTCTTGCCACAAGAAGGAGCAAAAGCTGCTATTCAAACTATACACCACCGAGAAGCATGTTCTCTCCTTAACCTCACCACAAGGTCTAGACATTGGTCTTCCAGGATTTTTTGAAACTCTTGAAAATATCTTCAATGTGTGCTGGGCAAAGCATGGTTTTTCCCATAGCAGGGTGGGACTAAGAAATGTAGGGAGGAAGGGAGGAAGCCAGCAAGGGAAAATGTATGTCAAAGGCAAGTTATCATCCAGCCCTGTGCCTTCTAACTCTTTCCAATTAGATCTTTTATAGATGAAAAGGGATCTAAGAGATATCAATAAAATGCCATGTGTGGGTCTTATTTTGTTGATCTGAATAAACCAGGTTAAAAAAAAGGTGAACTTGTAGGGTATTAAGAAGTCATTAATTTTGTAGGGTGTGATTACAACATTGTTGTTTTGTTAAAACAATACTTTTTTTTATTTATCAGAAATACACAGGGACATATGCAGGGACAAAATGATATGTTGTCTGTGATTTGCTTGAAAAGACACTAGGAAAAGTAGTGAGAACAGACAAAACAAGAATGGCTAGATTTGGACAATAGTTGAAGCTGGGTGATGGATGCTTAGAAGTTCAGGATATTGTTCTCTACTTTTATACTTATTTATATAATAAAAAAGTTTTAAAAATGAAAAAGAGGCTTTTTACAAACGTATGGATAAATGAATTACCAGATGAATCAATACTAAGTAAACATTCCTGTCTCTGTTTTGTCTTCTTCCCAAGGCTACCATTGCTCAGGCTCTAGTTGCTTCTGCCCCAGAATATTTTATCAGAACAGGCTTCTGACTAGTCCCTTGCCTCAAGACTCCTCCTTTCCATTGTACCCTCCTTGGGGTAGCCTGAATTACCTAACTGGCCAATCAAATCACTCAACTTCTTCCACTCAGAGATCTTCCATGACTCCCTACTGCCTTCAGGAACAAAGGTTGGTACCAGTGCTGGACACACATGCCTCCCACGTGCTGGTGGTAGCTGCTCCAACAGGCTGTTCGCCTTCTACATTCCCGACCCTGTCAGCCTGTTTCTCAAGTTCCCTGGCACAAGTCTCATTCATAATACAACTGTCCATGTGAAAGATAGTTATCCCCATGATTTTGATGAGACTCCTTTTTCAACTATTTTGCTTGCCCTTGCCCTGATACACTCTTTAAGGCATCAGGTCTATGTCCTTTCTTGTACTCTGCACCATTGGTAATTATTCTTTTTTCTTTTAAAAGATTTATTTATTTATGCATACAAGAGCTGGGGTACAGGCCAGAGATGGGTGGGGTGGCGGTGAGAGGATTCACCAGAGACAGAGTGGGGAGCAGAACAGGCAGGCTGACTGAAATATACTGAGAGACAGAGTGGGGAGCAGAACAGGCAGACTGAAATATACTGCTGAGGGGAGCAACGGGCGAGGCAGGAGAGATCTGCTGCACCAAATGTGTTGCTCCCTGGCTGGCTGGGGATTGAACTCGTGCTGCAGAGGTTGTGGAATGCTTCATAGTGTGGTGCTTAACCCCTTGCGCCTCCAGGGAGGCCCGCCATGCATAATTATTCTGTCATTTGCTTGTCAACTGTGTCTCTTATTAAACTCTAAGCTCCATGTAGACAGGAACCATGTCTGTGTGTTGGGCACATGGTAGACACTTAAATATATATCAAATATGATAAATAAATATTCATATTAGAGCAACAAGCAAATCAACTCTGTTTATACACCTGATGTTCCATGAAATGACCTATTAAGTTAGTTGTTAGGGTTTTCTAGAGACTCAGATTCAATAGGATGTATAGACATTGTATATATTATATAGTACATGCATATGCAGTTTATATATTACATACGTGTGTTTTATATGTGCATATATTATGTGTGCATGTATTTGTATGCATATATTACACAGACACATATATGTTAAACACATACATATATTATACATGCACACATAAAATGCATGTGTGGGTATTACATGCATGAAACACATTACATAGATATGCAAATGTATATGTGTTATATGCATTTATATATGTATAGTTATATATCATATATACAATAATGCATAAAATTTATATATTTTAATATATAATTTCCACATGAAATATGTTAATAATAGATATATTTTATATATACTATATATTTTTTATATTACTTTATAACTTATATGTAATTATATATAAAATATTTTTATATATGAGATTTGTTGTAAGGAATTGGCTCATCCAATTATGGAGGCTCACAAATCCCAAGAGCTATAAGGCTAGTCAGAAGGCTGGAGATCCAAAAAGAGTCACTGTTTCACTTTGAGTGTAAAGGCAGAAAAAAGCTGACATGCCAGTTCAAAGCCAGTCAGGTAGGGAAGAATTCTCTTACTTGGGAGGGTCTGTCTTTTTGTTCCCTTCAAGACTTCAACTGGTTGGATAAGGCCCATTTACATTAGGGAGGGCAATCTGCCTTATGTAGATTGAGTAAAACTTTACTGTTTAAATATTTATGTGATCCAAACATACCATTACAGAAACATTCAGAATAATGTTTGACCAAATATCTTGGCAACCCAGAACTCAGTCAAGTTGACATATAAAATTAACTATCACAGGAAGGGACTCTATCTTTTAATCTTTGTATCATTCAGACTTCTTCTCCATTGCATTTTTTATAGCAGTCAGGAAGCAGTTGTGAATAATAATCAGGGCAGTGGAATGAAGACGCTTAGAGCTATGATATGCTCATCAGACTATACAAATCTACTTCTTCTATGTTGCCTTTTAGAAGAGTAAATAAACTACATATTTTTTTATTTTCAGATCAATTTCCCCTGTACTGAAGTTGTATTAGAAGCAGATGCAATGGAAGTGCAATTAGAAATGAAAAATTAATAAATTATTGAAAATTCATAATTATTCAGTTTTACTAAGTCAACCAGTTTATTGACTTTGGCTTCTTAAAACTAACAAAAGTAATAACTACAATAAAACTCTTTCTGCAATCTGCACCCTACTGCGGAGTAATCATGATAATCACTATTAATTATTATTATTAATTATTCATGATTTGGTATGCATCCTTCTAAAACCATTAGCCTTTTCAATTTAATTTTACATTTTCCACCAGTTGATAATTCCACAGAGCTCTGCATTTTCACCACTGTTTCTAGTACAATCACACTGACTTTTATGGTGGGGCTTATAGAATGCCCTGTCCCACGTGGTGTGTTTTTCTTCCCTAAGGACGAAAGGTTTGTGCCAAGAATTTGAGATAAACAACCACACCCCTGACATTTTCATCACCCTTTTGCCTGAATGGCTCTGGCCCCCTCTTCCCTTTCAGTGCTGAGGTTCCCAAGGGCCTCCACATCCTCCTTCCTCTCTTCTGTACTCTCCCTGGAGAGTCTCATTCCTTTTCTCACTTAATCTGCTACCTTTTCACTGTAGTACCTTTGGATGACTTGTGAGTCAGCACCTCCAACTTCCAGCCGTCTGCTGGATGATTGCCCAGATGCAACTTGTCCTAAACCGATCATTTCCTCTTCCCCAAACCAGCTCCTGTCCTTATGTGCCATTCTTCAGTTGGTGGCATCTCTTTCTGCCAAGTCACCAAAGCTAGAAGCCTGGGAGGCAGCACCAGTGTCAAAACCCCCAGCCAGGAGATGTAGGACCTGGGAC